TATATATACATATAATATACCTAGATACACACATGTTATATATACATAAAAAGACTTCTGCGACGTCTTGTACAAAAGCGTTGACTTAGTAAATGGTAGGATCATTTTCAAATCAAAGATGTGACAGCATAATACATGTACATTGTATTTCATAGCACGATACAAGTTTGTACAGAATTTTAAATGGACAAAATTTTCATAACATACCCACCATTTCGACAAACATTTGAACAGGCGAAACTGGCTTACTTCCTTACGGTAGTTCAACTTTGAGTGGTCGCATGTGTCGATTTTGCATAATTTATAAAGAATAAAAAGTATTTACATAATATCCTTTAGTAATACCGTTACACGAAACCACACTCGTTGTTGAGTAATGATCAAAGTAATAATATGATAAATGGTAATGGTGATAATGATGAAAATAATAATAATAATAATAATAATAATAATAATAATGATAATAATTATTATAATAATAACAACAACAACTTCAATAATACTAGTAATAGTGGTAATAACAACAGCAATATTACTAACAGAAATGAAAGTAGGCATCTGCTAAACTCAGAAAGAAAAGTAAAACCCGTTCAAGGCAAGAGAATAAAATGAGCCTACCTGGGACTTTTAATCCACTGTCATCAGCCCTTTGGCATGGGTAACCATGGTAACGGAAAGCGGCTGCTCGGTTATTCACCGCAAGATTATTTCTAACTGACATGTATAGTTCTATCTGACAAATAGTACTAACTACTAACTGACATATTATTATAGTTCTATATGACATACTATAGTTCTATATGACATACTATAGTTCTATATGACATACTATAGTTCTATCTGTCATAATATAGTTCTATCTGCCATTATATAGTTCCATCTGACCCAATATATTTCTATCTGACACATAGTTCTATCTGATATCATATATTTCCATCTGACACATAGTTCTATCTGCCATAATATAGTTCTATCTGACACATAGTCCTATCTGCCATAATATAGTTCTATCTGACACATAGTTCTATCTGACATAATATAGTTCTAAAGTTCTATCTGACATAACATTGTTCTAACTGACATATAGATGTAGTTCAAACTGACACTTACAATAACAACTGGTTTTGAAACAAAGTTTGTTTATAGAGTAAAAGTATGCTGCAGTTTGAAGTTGTGTCGAAGGACTATGTCTGCAACCTGGTCTTTTATGTTGAACGGGAAAAAAACCCAACAACAACAACACAAAAACTCCATTGATAATCAGAATACTGTGAGTACTTGGCGAGATTGAGGAGCGATAGTTGAGCGGTTTAGAATATCATGACTTAGGTCTATGTAGTGGTCAAACTGACTCCACTTTCACTAGTTTTGAGATGCATTTTTTCCGTGTTCAGAAAAGCTTGATCTATAAACTAAGTCTTGACTTTAACTAGAAGAAAATAGATAAAAATCAAAAGAATGAAAGATGACCTACTAAATAAACATAACAAAGTGCAAGTAGTGCACCTTTTCAAGAAAATGCACGTACATGTATATTGACTAGTCAAAGATTTATCGATAATGCTAAACACAACTATAGTGATATACAGAGATCTGTATAACTCGTCAGAACTAAGATACGAAAATGTAAGATAAATCGTTATTGTCCAGATCCTGGCACATTATTTCGGTGTTTCACCACGTACACAAACACACACAAAACACACACACACACACACACACACACACACACACACACACACACACACACA